GGCGGGAACCCTGAGCATGTGCGGTGCGCCACTCCTTTGTTTCCCTAGCTTGGCCCTCTGGGCACGCTTTAACGGACATCCCCCAGTCCTATGCTGGCCTACCTAACAATTATTTGTATTTTGGTCTTTATAATATCATTATTATTTTATCCTTGCCGTACTTCAATTTCATTTTTTATTGTTTCTGTTGGGTTTCCCAGTTTGTGATTCACCAGAGGAGTGGATACATAGTGATCATAACTGATACAAGGATGGATAGGGGATTCAGGAGTGGGGGTTGGGTGATAGGGAGGAAAAAGGGGATTTCAGGAGTAACAAAGGAAAGCAGGGGGAGGAGGGAGCACTAGAACTGATGGTGATTACACAACTCATTTTTAAAGGCGATGTCACCATGGGGGGATGTTCTAAAATTGATATGGCAATGGCTGCACTAGTCTCCTTTATATGATTGAACGATTGAACTATCGAATTGTATGAAATGTACATTATGTGCCAATAAAACTTATAAAAACACAATAAAATGAAATTCAAAGTATTTTCATCTATAAGCTTGGCTTAGATTTCTCCATTTATTTAAGCTGTCTTTTATATCTGTCAATAAAACCTTGTACTTCTCCCTTAAATAAAAGCCTCATATTCTGTTAATAATAGACACGTGTTGGTGGTTTGGCACCCTCAAGTCGGTTCCTCCTCATCCCTGCCGTGTGTACCACAGAATGAAACTCTGTCTGGTCCCGCACCATCTTCACAATCGTATGGTCCAGCTCATTGTCGCAGCAACCGTGTCCCTCTGACTTGTTGAAGATCTTCTTATTTTTCATGCCCCTCTACTTTCCCAAACATGATGTCTTTTTTCCCAGGGACAGTCAGAATGCTCCTTAGAGGCAAGGATGACTGGATTTTGTATAATGTCCTTTGGGCGTGTTGTCAGTAGAGACCAGGCCCTGGAGAGGGACATCATGTTTGGTAAAGTAGAGGAGCAGCAAAATAGAAGCAGGCCCTCAAGGAGATGGATTGATAGTGTGACTGCGACAAATAGGCTCAACTGTGGGAATGATTATTAGGATTGTGCAGGATGGGACTGTGGTTTGTTCTGTTGTACATAGGGTGGCAGTGAGTTTGAACCAACTCAATGCCACTTAACAACAACAAAAGCAAAAATAGATATCCACTTGTAGGGGGGAAATGAAACAGGATCTGTATGTTACACCAAATACAAAAACAAACTGAAAACAGTTCAAAGATCTAAATGTTAAATCTAAAACTATCAAATTCCTGCAAGACAGCACAGGAAGAAAATTATGCTTTGTAAAAATAGGATAACAAACATTACAACAGATGCTTGAATTAAAAACTTATTGAAAGGCTTTATTCAATGAGTAAATATCTAAATCCACACATCATTTGTAGTGAAACAATTGTGTAAAAAAAAGTAATAAATAAACAAGATACAGCCTGGGAAAAAAATTCTTTGGAAATGCTCCAATAGAAGGCTAAAGTATAATATTGACATAAAATTACACAAGTCAACAACAAAAATGCAACTCTTGGACACCATTTTGACTTTGTGCTAATGACCTGCCTACTCAGATGATGTATCTGTGTCTTTGTCCCATTAAAGACTTCACAATGTTCTCCTGAAGCTGCAAAATAAATAAATAAATATAATACAACTAAATCACAAAGAAAAGGACACGGAGAGGACATTAACCAAAGAGAGCATTCAAACAGGCAACATATGTATGAAAAAATGTCCGCACCGTCATCAGCCACTATTGCTGGTGTTAGGAGGAAATGGACCCATAAGCCTGCCCTACCAGAAATATGCAGCCTGAATGCACATCTCCTGGTGATGACCATATTTTATCTACTGTTTCAACCCATTGCTTCCTATATCCAAAAAACCATTTGAAGCCTTGAATTTGTTTAGAGTTGTTTCTCCTATTAGAAGCAAAATAAATCCTCCTGGGGGATTGGACCTTTGTCCTAGGCCTCAACGAATTTCAACTATAATTTTCCAAGATAAAAGCAGCTCGCATTAAAAAAAAAATCACTTAGGTTGCGGTGTGGGACATGTGTTGGCTGCGTAACACAAGGTGTCTCAGCATGTGGAAGTCAAGATGTCGCACCAGGCCTCCAAACCCCAGCAGCCCCCAAGTCTTCTTTGATGTGGACATTGGGGGGTGGGGGTAGGGGAGCAAGTTGGTTGGATTGTCTTAGAGTTGTTTGCAGATGTTGTCCCTAAAACTGCAGAAAATTTTCGCGCATTGTGTATCAGAGAAAAAGGCATTGGACCCACAACTGGAAAACCGCTCCATTTCAAAGGGTGCCCTTTCCATTGAATTATTAAGAACTTCATGATTCAGGGTGGAGACTTGTCCAATCAGAATGGGACAGGTGGAGAAAGTATTTATGGGGAAAAATTTGAAGATGAAAATTTCTATTACAAGCATGATCAGGAAGGTTTATTGAGCATGGCAAATGCAGGACCCACTACAAACGGTTCTCAGTTCTTTATCACAACAGCTCGAACTCCTCATTTGGATGGTAAACATGTGATGTTTGGCCAAGTTATTAAAGGACTGGGTGTGGCAAGGATGCTGGAAAATATAGACGTGAAAGGTGAAAAACCTGCCAAATTGTGCATTATTGCAGAATATGGAGAACTGAAAGAAGGGGATGATTGGGGAATATTCCCCAAAGATGGCTCTGGTGACAGTCATCCAGATTTCCCTGAGGACCCTGAGATAGACTTTAAAGATGTAGATAAAATTTTATTGATAACAGAGGACGTACAAAACATTGGAAACACTTTTTTTAAATCCCAGAACTGGGAGATGGCCCTAAAGAAGGATGCCAAAGTTGTAAGGTGTGTAGACGGTTCAAAGGCTGTTATTGAGAAAGCAGCTAGAGCTAAGCTACAACCTATAGCTTTAAGCTGTGTGCTGAATATTGGAGCTTGTAAACTAAAGGTGTCCAATGATCAGGGAGCAGTTAATAGTTGTTTGGAGGTGCTTGAACTAGATCCAGCAAATACTAAGCCAGTGTACCGCAGAGCTCAAGGGTGGCAAGGATTAAAAGAATATGATCAAGCACTGGCTGATCTCAAGAAAGCTCAGGAGAAAGCACCTGAAGATAAAGCTATTCAGGCCGAATTGCTGAAAGTCAAGCAAAAGATAAAGGCACAGCAAGACGAGGAGAAGGCAGCTTATGCAAAAATGTTTGCTTAATAAAAAATTGAATTTTGCTTAAATATTATGCATTGGCTGTATAAAGGCAATAAGATTTAAGGGTGTTT